GAACCTCTTCTATAGAAGAGGTTCGAACTGGCAGGAACCCACCCCCGGGGATCGTTCTAGGTTTTCCAAGCCCAAAATTCCGAGCCTGATGGCATAAGGGATTCTGTTATGAACAGAGAAGTGGAGGACTCTTCTCGTGAAATATTTCTGGGCTCGCTCGATTGTATTAATATCCGATGTATAGTGCGGATTCCAGGCAGATGAGCTGTATTCGAGAATTGGTCTGGCAAAGGTTTTGTATCCTTCAGCCTTCAGTTGGAAAAGACAGCCTGATTGTGTAAGACTTCCTGGACGGTTTTGTTTTTTCTCCTTCCTGACATACTTTGAGATAATCCTGCTTAGAAGAACCTTCTGTAATATACTAAGCTTTGGAGTCATCGTTGCCCTTAATTAAAATGCTATACATTAGACTAAGAACAGTAGCAGGGAACAAGAATTATAATTAAATCTGAAACTATATCTGTTTCTTTTCTGATAACTTGGGGACATAATCATCTTATGGCTCTACTCGCAATCCATAGATGATGGCTCATAATTAAAAATACAGATTGTGAAAAGCCGGAAACTTGGAAAGAAATGGATACAGGAGAGCAATTTCTCACCAAGTTGATTTACTATATCATGAAAACATATTGTCCCTGTTTTGCTGGGGGGAAATAAATCTGTTGATAGGCTACTTTTAATAGGGTGCATGGATAGAGATAGCCAAATCTATAAAAAATATTGTCAAGCGCCGGGGAAATCAGGAGATTCAGATTCAAGTGAATATAAAGATTTATTGCAGCTTTAAGCGCTGTACAACAATCTGAGCTACTAACGATCAAGGGAAATGAGCAGGAATTATGGCTGGATTTAGATCTTTTGTGGGCCTGCAGGGATTCATGACTGATGACACATTTGACCCTTCCCTCAGGCTCAGCCTGGTCATATCCTACAAATATTCTAAATATGTTACTCTGAAACTCCCTTTTTATGAAGTTGTAATCCCTTAATTATTCGGGGTAGAATTGGGGTAACTGGATGGAGCTGAGCATTTACTGACTGGCTGCCCTTCCTGATGCCCTGAGAAGTTCATAGCAGATTTTTTTTTTTCTTGGTGCCCCAGGAGAGAAATATCTGCTGCCTCCTAAGATTGAACTCTCAACCTTTTGAATGGGAGGCGGGTGTCTTCACCACTAGGCCACCCGCCCAACCCCACTAAATATGCTGCTCTATTATACCTAAAAACCTATACCTAAAATCTAATGAAACTTTGAAGAAATTTATGTATTGAAAATATATTTTAAGGAACGGCTGAAATTTGTGTAATCTCATGTTTTTCTCTCCCCTATTTCTCTCAGCTCCCTGTTTAGGTAATACCTATTTCTGCCATAGCAACATGTGCATCAATAATTCCTTGGTTTGCAATGGCATTCAAAACTGTGCGTATCCCTGGGATGAAAATCATTGCAAAGGTGAGTAGTCACTGAAACATTTGAATCGGTGATAAGTGAGCCTTCCGTTTCTCTTTTTATCACCCTAAAGACAATTGTCATCGAGAGCCGTGGTGGCGCAGTGGTTAGAGTGCAGTACTGCTTTTCTTAAGTAGTACGGCTTTTCTTAAGTAATATATATATAAACTAGCCGATAACCTAGCATTGCCCAAGTATTTATTTATAAGGGAAAAATGCCAGGACAAAATGTAATTTCTAATGTTGGATTTTAGCCCTTACCAGAGGGAGCCCTCTTGTGGAGTACTGTGAAGCCGTTAGCATGGCAACTCCACTGCACTGTACAGTAGAGGCCATTTTACGGCAGTACAGTAGAAGTCATTTTAAGGCACAACAGGCTGTATCTTAACAGAACACACACCCCGAGGGGTGTTAGGGGTGTCTTACCCCCACAGTATTTTTCTCCAGAGAGTAAGTCATCTGTGTACCAAGTTTGGTTGAAATTGCTTGAGGCGTTCCAGTTATGCTCGCTCGCTCTCTCTCTCTCTCTCTCTCTCTCTCTCTCTCTCTCTCTCTCTCTCTCTCTCTCTC